CCCTTTGTCTAGGGAAGAATCGGCACATATCTACGCTGCGGCCATTAAGGTAAATGCGTTGGATAGGGAACGGCGAGTACAAGTCAAGGGCCCTAATGATTCAGTAAGTAGCTCGCTTCATAAAATAATACATAATTCAGTTGGTACTGTTTCGAGATGGTGCAGCCTGGTGTGAAATATTGTACAATACGCCTATTTACAAAATCTGGTGGGGAATTTATAAACCTTTTTTATTCAATTTTTCTACGGCTAAAAATAAAAAATACCTACTCAAAAGCAGGTGCGCCGCGCCGGTCGGGACTCGGCGTCTAAGTAGCAATATCGTCGTGACGCTGTCATTAGTTTTTAGGAGAATCGCATAGGTACCGTAAATAATACAAAAAAAATCTGAAATTAACTGTTTGTTTCATAAATGCGGGTCTAAGGCTGAGTTGCACCACCTTAATTAATCATAACCGGTGTTTTTGTATAGAGTTTGAATGACGTTTGACGTTTGTTATATTCGTAGTTAAAATAAGACGATGCGACCCAGCCTAAGAGTGACTGGTGACTTAGAAAAAAATCTACATATTTAGTAATAATCACCAGTTGCTGTGTAAAACATCATAAAGTTTCATTCAATAACTTTAATATACTTAATTACTGAATTTTACTTATATTCTTGTGACACGAGTATCAACTAATCGGCTTAAGTTTATACATCATAATATTCCTATAACATTTTTCGGATTGGTTAGGTAATATGGGTACATAATACCAATTTATTTACATACCTATTAAAATTTTGGCGTATGGGCCGTCTAATATTGTTACAGTATGAAAACAAACCGAGCAGCCGAAGTTAGTCAAAGATAATATTATTAGTACTGCCAGCAGTTGGTATTAGTTGGTAAAATGTGAATATTTATGAAATGTTTTAAGAGCACACTGTGTTGTTTTATTCACTTTTCATAATTAAAGAGCAAATCTCATTAAAACATAAAGGTTTTACTAAGGGCTCAATAATAAAATAGACAAAAACAAATAAAATTATCCCATAGTTAATTTTACGCCGACGTATTAGAAAAGCGCTGAAATAAGAAGTTATTAAGTACTTACAAACTTTTATATGTTTATATTCTGCCTTCATTGTGATAGTCACTTATTTAATATATTCACATTATTAAATTCAAAGAGTGACTAAATACACAAAGTAAAAGTTATAGTGTAGAGAGGCTAAACTAACTTCATTAATTTATTATAAGATCTACGATTTGGCCCGTCTAATAGCAGGGTATGTGTATAAAACTTGGTCACCCCTATTACCATAACTAAGTACAGTCAGCCGCAAACATGTCTAACCGTTCCGATTTTGAAGTGCTTTGATTAAGCTGCTATTTAATTAATATGGTATCCAATTAAATGCCTAGGCTGATCGTTGAATGAACAGGATCCTATAGAACTTATAACGAGTTGGCTGATTGAAAACTAGCCCTTTAGAAACTGGCTGGATAAAGCTGCCGCGTGATTCAAGTTTAGTTTAATTTTGGATGGCTAGCAGTTAAACAGCGACAATTATTTGATTTATTTTTGAGTCTGTGGGGCTTAAGTGATGTAGATAATTAAAATTAAATACCTACTTAATTCTTAATTTGAGTTAAAAATAATTATGAGCGAACCGCTCAGTCGCTCAGTAAAAGTATATTCACATTTGTAAATGGTGTGTGTGGTTCAGGCCGACGCGGCGACGTTTGTATGCAGGATAAATATACTGCCTATTACGCTGTTGCAGCCGATGCGCACTGCTTATCCGAATCGAAATAGGTATATCCGACGTCCGTCCAAAATAGAGGAATTTACACAAAACTTTTCATTGAGTAGTAGTCCAGTCATTATAGTAAGTTCACCTCGGAATTCGAGATACCCAGCTGTAAGTCTGTAAATACTTGTATATTGACACCCTAAAAGTTGTCTTAAAACCTACATATAGTAGGGTGTAAGCAACTATTAAATTTTAAGGTCAACGGTCACAAAAATCGGTTTTTGCGCTTTTTTTAGAAATATCTCATTTCTTATGGGTTTTTTGCTATTTGTATTTATTATCAATATTGTAAAATACAATATTCTCTACAAATTTTGTTTAAAATTTTTTTTTATACGGTGAACCGTTTTCGAGATAGAGGGGGGAGAGCGCGCGGTCACTGCATCACTTCAGGTCAACTTAAGCGGTTTAGATTTTTCATACAAAAGGATTTTCCCACTAATTCCCATTCCCGTGGGAATTTCGGGAATTACTTGTTGTAACTAAGCTTTAAGTTTACTAAGGTGCCAAATGCCAAATTTCAAGCGTCTAACTTAAGCGGTTTAGATTTTTCATACAAAAGGATTTTCCCGCTAATTCCTGTTCTCGTGGGAATTCCTAAGTATACTATAACCTGCCCAGGAGTATGAAGAATAATTGTACCAAGTTTCGTTAAAATCCGTCGAGCAGTTTTTGTTTCTATAAGGAACATACAGACGGACAGGCAGACAGACAAAAATTTTACTGATTGCATTTTTGGCATCAGTATCGATCACTAATCACCCCCTGATAGTTATTTTGAAAATATATTTCATGTACAGAATTGACCTCTCTACAGATTTATTATAAGTACTAGCGGCCGCCCTCTATCTCGAAAACGGTTCACCGTATAAAAAAATTTTTTGAACAAAATGGCAATGCCGGATTTTGTATGGAAAGTGGCGTCTTTTTTTTTCGCGCGGCCATCGACCAAACTTTGTTTTTTGATTACAAAATAGTGTAATAAACCAAACTTACTATGCATGTATACCTCTAAACTCAGTCTGAACTGAGTTACGAGCATTGGAAGTTTGATGATTTTCATACAAGATTTGCTTTTTGTGCGCGAGTTTTGTAAGAAATTGCAACAAAATATTGCGCTGTTTTTTTATTGCGCTGATTCTGCTCCATACTGATGTCTGGAGCCTTTAATGGATGGTATTGTTTGTTTACACATACAATCTCACTATTTTGTTGCAATTTCTTACAAAACTTTGCGCGCAAAAAGCAAATCTAGTATGAAAATCATCAAACTTCTAATGCTCGTAACTCAGTTTAGACTGAGTTTAGAGGTATACATGTCATAGCAAGTTTGGTTTATTACACTATTTTGTAATCAAAAAACAAAGTGTGGTCGATGGCCGCGCGAAAAAAAAAGACGCCAATTTCCGGCATTGTCTTTTGTAGAGAATTTTGTATTCTACAATATTGATATAAATACAAATAGCAAAAAACCCATAGGAAATGAGATATTTCCAAAAAAAGCGCAAAAAACCGATTTTTGTGACCTTTGACCTGAAAATTTAATAGTTGCTACCATATGTAGGTTTTGAGACCACTTTTAGGGTGTCAATATACAAGTATTTACAGACTTACAGCTGGGTATCTCGAATTCTGAGATTCTTACCTAATTTAAGCTTAAATGACTGGACTATAGGGATGCGCTCATACAAATTAATACCACTTCTAAATAATATTGACCAATATAATATCTTGAATTCGGATCATCACGTACCTAATCGCTCTTACATTCTACTGCTGGACACTTATTGAGTCAGCAGTTTGAGTGTGACTTAAACCCACTGGCTGCAAATTGGTGGAGGTATATGTTTACCTTACCGAGAATTAGGTAAATACTGAGTAGATACCATATTTCTTAAATTACTATTCATTTTTTTAAATAGTTTTAAAAAATCGAACTGCCTCGGGAATCGAACCCACGACCTTTCGCTTGCCGGGCGACTGCTCTTCCATCTGAGTTACTTATCGAACCGTCCAGTTCGTCCTGGACGGTTCGATTCCCACCTTAGGCAGTTCGATTTTTAACACGCTTTTTTCAAGTTATTTTAAAATTATTTAGATCGAGAGAGGACTCGAATTTAAATTACTATTGATTCTTAAATTCGTATAACGATGTAAGAAATACCAAACTAACGTCTTTCCATTCATACATATTATGTGATTACAAATTAGATGCAGATGCTTCTGGGATCATTTGAATATTAACCACATTGTACTCGTAAATATTAACATTTTCATGTGACTTTGAAAAGCTTTCCCGGACACTTACATAATTAATACAACGGCCATAACGTTGTCGCTGTAATTAATGCAATTAAATAATAATAATAATGAACCTAAATTGAATCAACATTTTACACAAATTATTTATAAATTAACATTCTTCCGAAAATAATTATCGTGTTTATGTAAAGTGGTTTGCAGCTGTAGCATTCATTGAACAGTAAAATACTTGAAATACGATTACTGAAATTAACTTTATTTCTCAGTAAAAATAACATAGCAATGGAATTTCTATCTAAATGTAAATTTACAGTGTCCGAGAAAGTAGTGTTAATTGGTGAACAACAGAAAAAGGCCTTCTAGAGCTTCCCTAATGACACGCAAGTGTTCTAAGAATTTTTGTTCTTCTTGAGTGTATTTTTGCAAAATTGCTATTTGTAAAATAGTACAACACAACAAGTACAGCTGGTAAAAATATTTTTAATCATGATAATATATTCTAATGCGAAATAAGGTAACTAGTGACCATGATTATAAATTTTTTTTAATGAGAATCACATATTTTTGTGTGTGCAATCTTTAGCAATCGAAATTAACCGTCCATTCAAACACGGTAAAATCAAAATAAGCAACAATATCTACAACTTATTACGGCAATATTTATTCTTTATCCGTACTAAGTAGGCCTGACAGTTGCACACAATTTGGGTACGAAATATTTTTAAAAGACTGAGATAAATGTTTTTGAAGTTTGCAAGAGCGACTGCCGGCACCCTGAAATATCTCTACCTTCATAAATTTAAAGTTAGCATGCAAATACTACACGGTAACAAACAAAGCCGAGCTCGGAGCGAAACAGACAAAAATAAATATAAAACATTTCCAAAATAATATAACAACTTTGCAACTAATCTAAAACTTTCGCAAGCCAACTCACCCATTAGCGTGTGTTCAAAAATCATCCATTACAGTCCCATCCAGCGAACTAGGGAAACAGTTTAAAAACTTTTCAAATGCACAAAACTCCGTCACGGCACTGTGTAAACTGCACAAATTGCATCCAATTTCGCGTAGAGCACAGCGCACTTTTCTTGCTAAAGCTTCAGTTTGTAAGTTCGGCAAAGTTTCCGCAAGTTGCGTGTCTCGCTCGCGCGTGGAGCGCAGGCCGGGCGTGCAGGCGGCGGCGCGAGGTCGGCGCGACTAACGCGCCCGAGCGAACAGCGCGCGATACAAGCTCGGGCGGGCCGCCCACGGACGAAGCTCGCGAAGCTCCCCCGATCATATCGCCGCAACCCTTTAGCCGTTTCCTTGATTAAATAACAGTAATTACTCGAATGATTTCCGATATGTCACGTAAATTAGCCCTGCGGTTATGCTTGATCTCACGTAAAAACATTCTTGCTTTACAAAGTGCTGAGTAATGGAGTGCGATTTATCTTAGCCATGAAAAGTTTGGAGCTTCCTCTGGGCTCCTAATACACTTTGTATATTTTCATTTCCGAAATAACATAATAGAAAAGTTTTGTTTTTCTTTCAAAATGATACGTTTTATTAACATTCGGTTGTGGTAGAATGTTGTAACCACTTAAAAGTATTAAACTTTTACGTTAACTTTGAATTTTTCCTGAAGAACCAGTACCCTCATGTTGCCTTTGTTTATATTTTTTTTACAATTTTGCCACGTGGCTTTTCTCTATAAGGGTTGATACAATTTGGACACGGAGTTTTTCCCTGATCTTTCCGTAAATAAACCTACATTATGTTCATAATTACATATCTAATTATTGTTCTATCTATAATATTAAGTAGCAGCACTTAAATACAATACTAACAAAATTTTCGTTCAATCACATTTACACCGCACACCATACGCCGAACTAACCTAATAAATACGACAAGAAAAAGGCAAATTGTGCCTATTAATTATTCACGAAATTTAGTTGTTGACGACAGCGGTACCTCGCTACATACCTCGACATAGAAGCACTCTGCAATCAGGGGGCGGACCAAGACCCTAGATTAATCAATTCCGTGTTTGAATTTGAACCACGAGCTTCATTAAAATTTAAGCAAGCCTTTTAACTTGTCCATACGGAATGATACGTCCGGAGTACGCACAATTGTTAACATAACTATTAGTCGGGTTCACGGAGCTTTCAGCCCGTTATCTGGTTTGACAGTTTGCTTTCGAGGGACGGAAACTTTATTGAGACCTTATTTGTATTCAGAGAGACGCATGCTCGAAAAGTATCCAACATAGAGCATTATTGTGAAGCCCACCTGTTAAAATGGCCACATAGGACGATAATCACGTACGTAGCGTGAAATCTGTCGTCAAATGAAAATAAAGTTTGCAGCAATTCGTTATTTTACTCATAGTTCTATAAAATATAGACTCTATTTGGATACTTTATAAAACTGATATTATACTTATGCTTATGCCTTAATTAATTTGATAAGCTAGTTAATATTTTGAATCCGATCTCTCCACAGTGACATTTTTCATCTCTACAAAGTTTTTAAATGTTACAAAATGTAAAAACGTCTTGATTCATGTCTGTAAAAATATATCTTATTAAAGTCATGGATTGAGAGGATAATGCGAAACAAAAAATACATCTTTGGGTTGTTTAACAAATAGGTCACGTTCTGCTTATAAAATCAAGTAACAAAGAACTCATAACCGCGACGATGAGGCAAAACATTATGGCCGCTGGATAAAAACATCGCCTTTAATTAAAAGTAAAAGCACGTTCCATTTATTGTAGAAGAATCTAAGTTATTACCATTTTTAATCACTTAATTAAAGTCATTTTACCATTTGCAAAATGTGGACAAAAGTATTTTCGAGAATTAAAAGTCTTGTGAGCTGTGAGGCTCTGACACGCTTGAGGCACCTTGAGACATAATGCTGCTATAATTGACGCAAAATGCTGTAGTTATACCGCATGTAGCACAGTTTCGCTGCTCTAGCGCTGCTCATGCAAGTGTCAGTCACACAACACAATTTGATTCCATGGAACGCGACGCAACCTGACACACTAAGACCCTTATGAACGAGCTTTTTTGTATGAAACGCCTGTAAATTGCTTAATTTCGATATTTGGACCAATAACGTTTGAACAGTTTTGGGCGTCATTTTATAATAAGGGTCTAATTTTCCTTTGGGATGGGAAAATCCCCATGGTTGCATCAAACTCCGAGATTTTATTCCGAGATCCCAGTGTAGCAAACTACGAGTTTATGAATATCAAAATTTCTCTAATAACCTGCTATATTCTTAACTAAAGGAAAGTTTGGTTTGACCTAAATATTATTACGCAAACTACAATATGGGGAGGGCTACTAAAGCTGAAGCTAAACTTAGGCATAAAATGTAGATCTGGCCCATTCTATAATTAATTCGAAGGGCAGAACTGAACTAGAGCATTGTTGGTGTTTATGACTGGACCGGGAGCACGCCCCGGTTTTGGGTAACTAAATAAACCTACAGTTAAATCAAGCTTGAATAAGCCGGACAAAACTAAAATAAATTAATAAACCCAATGTTGTCAATGTTTCAACATTTCGTTAACAACGGTAATAATTTACGATAGTAAAAATGAAATTATGAAAACCCACAGGTTCAAACTATCAAGAAATACATTCGCTAGTGATGATAGAATCCTCCAGTTAAAATATGACTCCACAGTTACTTATATGACGATTATACGCTTTATCGTAACTCAACGACCGGAAAATTGTTACTTGTTAAGCTATTTATAAAACAACAACATGCTCTAAACAACGTTGTTATTATTTATGCTATTGTCTCGAAGTATATTAGCTGTAACAAAACGTTTTTAGTACCCATAATTTAGCGGTAGGCATGCGCCATGCAAAGCCGATTACGCACTCATAAAAGCCTTATTTTGTAAGCTTTGGAATAAACTTGCCGGCATATATGCGTAGGTATTTGTGCACGTGCATATTCTAGCAGCATGATTCAATTCAATAACTGATAAACAATATCTTTTAAATGTACCTGAGTATATTATAAAATAGTGTTATTTTTCATGCAAATGATCCACTGAATGTAATAATAAGAACTTATGATTTAGTAGTATTTTGTGTTTTTTATTTTTATCATCCTATTATTTTTCGTTTGGATTTAAGCTTAATTGCACAACAATAGTCACACCAATTTATTCACTCTTGTTATTTCAGCGGAAAAAGGATTTTCATGCTCATAGTACAGCTCTGCTTTTATTGAAAGTTTTATTAAAACAGATTAAAAATACCAAAGATTGCTTCGCAAAACTCAGGCTTATTTATTTAATGCTATTTCCTGATCAAAATATAAGGATGTTTTATAATCATCCCCTGAATTTCTAGGGCTAATAACCTGGCAGTGGCAGAAGCGAGAGTTGTTAAACAACAACAATAATTGCTGCGCCTGAGAAGACAACTTGACTTTTTGCGGCTCCGGCAAACGCCTCGCCTGAAAGTTCTAGTTTATTAGACGCGAAGTTTCTTCGTTCGAACCAACTACATCCATGCAGCTAGCTCATAAACATGCATTATTATGAATTCATATTCCCATTACGTAGGAAACAGATGCCTTGGCCTAATTAGTGCTAGAAATTAGGTCTGATGTTCTGCCAAAAGAAATTCTCTCGGCACAGCTCGCGATAGGAAGTTCCTTCTAACCGCATTATGAAAGCTAGCATAGCATTAGTTCTATGTTTATCATATAAGTGTAAAATAGTCATGAATTTCCCATTTAAGTTTTTTATTATTCGTTATTGTATAAACTTTACCGATATTTTCTTTGGCTCTTTGTTTTTATTCGCCCTAAGATAATAAAAATATTGGAGAAAGGTCGTATCGACATACGTATTCAAACCAATGAGGCATTCCATGCATGAACACAGCTTTAACAAAAAGCAGTGCTACGTATTATTATTATGTCCATTAATCAATTCCATTTAATTGCATTGAGCGATATAATTATAGCAAGCAAAATCGATCGTGAAATAAAATGTATGAACTCATTTCCGAGCGCGTCCCCTCTCGTCCGGCCGAACTCAGTTTTTATCATCACAAAGGCAATTTCCATCAAAATGCACGAATTTGGGACTTGGAGCGTGAAGCTGTGCACCGCTGTAAACACGTTATTCAAAGCTACGTAAAACATTACGGCACGCGGAATCACTATGACGCCTGAATCCTTTCTGAAGTCTTAACAATATCGGATTCACGGAATTATTTGTGTTTAGGCGTTTATTCGGTATTGTTTGAAGTCTCTTTTATTTAGGTTACTTATTGATGTTATGTAAACCTTCAAAAACGGTTTTGTAACATGAGATGGCGGGATTTTTCCGTTAGGCATATACTTATCAAAATAATTTATTTGCTTAATTTGGTACCTAGTCGCTGAAAATTTACGGTTGCTTTTATATGATCGCTTAGAATTAAAATCTGTAAGTAATTAAGTGTTCCGGGAATTGCCTAAGCTGAGGCAACACACGAAAAATATTTATAGATTTTGTGACTGATGGAAGACTAAAAGAGAGTAAGTACTTATATGCTTTGAAGCCCAATATTCCTCTCAACCCCTGTATTTATTACCATTTTGACCGGCTTTTTAAAATCTAATTATACATTCTCTGTTACAGCCGCCCTCTACAGCTCTCAGCTCCGAACCTGCTACATCTCAAGGGAAATGCAAAGAAGATTCGGTTAGTATATTTGGGCAAATTAAATGCAAATATGACGTGCTCGTATATCCTCAACGGCATTATTATAATATAGTGTGTTTTTGTAACATGTATGTTACTACCTTGTATACAAATTTTAAACAAGATGCGGGCTTGAAGACGTAGCGTGGGCGGGCCTCCAGCTAGATGGACCGACGATCTGGTAAAGGTCGCGGGTAGAACCTGGATGCGGGCAGCGCAGGACCGTTCTTTATGGAAAGCCTTGGGGGAGGCCTTTGCCCCAGCAGTGGACGTCATTTGGCTGAAACTGTTTATGTACTCGTAATGTCAATACAAAGTAAGTTTTCTTAAAGTGGATGTAAAGCTACATAATTTAATTAGTCATCCTAGTCAGGAATCAAAACTGAAATAAAAAAAACAGCAGCTGTTTATAACACACACTATCACATAAAACACACATACTGTTTACCTTAACTGTACACCTA